TATGCCTCAATCCATGCCAGCATTTCAAACACCAAGATTATACCTCTGTGGTAAGGTGAGGGACCACAGAGATTAAGGAAAGTCTCCCCGCTTCCATGGGCAATCAAGGCACGGATCATTATACCCATTCTAGATGTGAGGAGTAGAGTCCAGACCAGAACACAGGTCTGCAATATCTGTTAGTGTCCATATACTTTGCCAGGAAAACTTCCTGGGAATGCTTTGTTAGGTCTCTTTGCTCTTTTTTTCTCTAGCTAGACTGGATATTTACATTCATTTAGTCTAATTTTGTAACTCTGGGTCCAGAAATGTGTTGGCAGTGGGTGTGTTTCAGTAATAGCCAAAGTAAAAATATGCATGGACAAAAGCCATGACTTTGGGTAGAGGAGGGGCTAGCATTTCTGAGAAAGAAGGTGATCCAATATCTAAGCACAAAGGATATCTAAGCACAAAGGATATCTAAGCACAAAGGATATCCAGCAGATTCTTTGTCTATAAGCTTTCTTACCCCACTAGCAGATCAATTATTATTTGACCCTTCATACTGATTCAAAGAATAAGATAGTGCAGTAACCTCATTTTAAGACTTTAAATAAATCATGAAATAAAAGGATGTTGGAGTTTCAGAAGCCAAAAAATCTTGGATGTCCTATGTCAGGAGTATTTTCTTGGCCCAGAAATAGGAACACATGCACTTGTAAACACACCATGAACATCTGGCGTAGTACCATGTGCTGCCTTATATAAGCAGCAGAGGAGAAAAAACAGATAAGGATGGAGGCAACAGAAGTTGGGCAAGGGAACAAATGGGAAAAAGGCGAGTAATCCGAAAGGTTTGCCAAAATCGTAGATGAGTTTTAGACCCAGAGTGTTTAACCATCTCCTCAAGCTCATGTTCTGTAAATCTGCCTCAGTATCCACTATACCAGGCACTTTCAGCCCTGAGGACGAGGATCATACTTTAAATCTCTTAAGCTCTCTAGATTTTCTCTACCTCTCCTGTAACTTTATCACAACCCAATTACTAGCTCCATTAAGAGGAAAGGGAGGAATTTCATTTTTAAAGCATCATAAAAAGGAATTCCTTTTCATTGCAGAAGGCCCAGGGTATGGATCTGGCTGTGCTAGGCGCCTTTTCAGCTGCCTCTCTGTGCAGGATCTTGGCTGTAGATCAGCACGAGGGAAGTTGCTGTTTCCTCCAGTGCCATCTGCTCAAACAGGATGGATTGCAACTGCTGCCCAGAGAGATTCTTCCCTCCCTTCTCCCTCCCTCCTAGCTCTCTGGCAATGCTCTGGTGGAGAACTACGGCAAGGACACCAAAGATGTGCCACACTCACCAGCCTTCCAGAGCTGGTAGCAGACAGTCCTGCAAGCAAGGGGAAAGAGAAGGAGAGAAACAGCTGATGCTAGCACTCTTTTCTGATAGGGCTCCCAATGGGGTCATAAAGTCTACTGAGTAGGCTGACATGCAATCATCCTTTAACACTCAGAAAGAACAACAATATAATACCAGAAGGCAGCCAGCAAGGACTTTCTTCAAAAAAAATTAAAAATAAACTATCATATATGATCCAACAATTCCACTTCTGGGTATTTAGCCAAAACACCAAAAACGCTAACTCAAAAAAATATACGTATTCCTATGTTTATTGCAGCATTATTTACAATAGCCAACCAATATATGGAAACAACCTAAATGTCCATCAATGGATGAATGGATAAAGAAAATCAGTACATATACAATGGAATATTCTTCAGTCATAAAAAAAAGAATGAAATCTTGCCATTTTATGACAACGATGATGAACCTTGAGGACATTGTGCTAAGTGAAATAAGTCAGACAGAAAGACAAATACTATCATATGTTCTCACTTATATGTGAATGTAAAAACAAACAAACAAACAAATGAAAACACCACCAAGCTCATAGATACAAAATAGTGACTATAGTTAATATTGTACTACATATTTGAAAGCTGCTAGGAGAATAGATTTTTAAAGTTCTCATCACACAAAAAAATTCTTTAACTATGTATGGTGATGGATGTTAACTAGACTTATTGTGGTAATCATTTTGCAATGTACACAAATATCAAATCATTATGTTGTACACCTGCAACTAATAAAATATCGTATGTCAATTATAGTCACATACCTCTTAAGAACAGGGATCCTTTCAGAGAAATATGTCATCTGGCCACCATTTCATCGTTGTGCAAACATCATAGAGCAGCGGTCCCCAACCTTTTTGGCACCAGGGGCCAGTTTTGTGGAAGACAATTTTTCCACAGACCAGGGTGGGGGATGGAATTTTGGGATGATTCAAGCACATTATATTTATTGTGCACTTTATTTCTATTATTACATTGTAATATATGATGAAATAATTATACAGCTCCCCATAATGCAGAATCAGATGCCATCAGATACAGCTGTACAATTGTACATCAATTCACTTGCCACTATAAAGCCTACTACCAGATGCAACTTGTCTTTGGTACTCACTGACAGGGTTTTGATATGAGTCTACAAGCAATTGATTTATTATGGTTTCTGTGCAGTCACATTTCTCTGCTAATGTTAATCTGTATTTGCAGCCGCTCCCCAGCACTAGCATCACCGCCTCAGCTCCACCTCAGATCATCAGGCATTAGGATTCTCATAAGGAGCATGCAACCTAGATCCTTGTATGCACAGTTCACAATAGAGCTCGTGCTCCTATGAGAATCCAATGCCTGATGATCTGAGGTGGAGCTGAGGTGGTGATGCTAGAGTTGGTGAGCAGCTGGAAATACAAATGGATCTTGCTCACTCTCTGCTCACCTCCTGCTGTGCAGCCTGGTTCATAACAGGCCACAGACAGGTACAGGTCCACAATCCGGGGGCTGGGGATCTCCGTCATAGAGTACACTTACACAAACCTAGATGGTACAGCCTACTACACACCTAATGGTCTAGCCTATTGCTCCTAGGCTACATGCCTGTTAGCATGTTACTGTACAAAATTAAAGCAAGAGAAAATGATGCACTTAAGAGATGTAGTAAGTACCTGATGTATGAGGTTGCTGCAGGCATAACGGCATACTGCTTTACAGCAAACTTTTTAACAAGTAGAAAAAGTACACTCTAAAATAATGATAAAAAGTATAGTATAGTAGATATATAAACCAGTAACATAGTCATTTATTATCATTAGCAAGTGTTATGTACTGTACATAACTGTTTGTGCTTTAAGTGCTGGACCAGTAGTCGTCCAACTGCTGTCAAGATCACTGCATACTTTGGAGGTTTTTATTTAAAAAACTAAACAGTGTTTTGTACACAAAAAGGGAGAATATTGTCAATTTTAAAATGTGTGTCAGTTTTACACAATTGTATGTATATACTTAATTGCAAGGTTAAATTGTTTGCTACTGTTAAAAAAATTAAAGACAGTTTAGATGATAAAAAGTTTAACACTCATGAAGTAGACAGTCTACTTTAGAAGAACTACAAAAATGGGGTAGATGGCAGGAAGCTTTTATAAAATAAAAAACAAAAAAGAGAAAAATATAAAATAACTGATTGGCTGGGGCTGCACAGCCAAACTGGTTTAGGGTGAGAAGGCCCAGGGTTGGTCTAGCATGTGAGGATTGGCTGACTGAACAGACTGCGTTTCTGGTCAAACAGAGCATTTACAGGGGCATGGAAGTCATTTAAGTTTCAGCATGCTGATGTGGCACCCCAGACAGGAGCCATTCCTTCTTGGGCCTAGAAATTTATTTCAACACTATTATGGGTCACATTTTAAAAAATTAAACATTTTATTACACTAAGCCAAGCCTTTCTCAAATCCCTTACATGTATTAGCTCATTTAATTCTTACAACACTAAAAGTTACTACCATTATTATTCTTGGTTTGTATGGAAGAAATGGAGATACAAAGTGCTTGAGCAAGATGTTGGCCAGCTTCCCAGGCAGTGCTATCCCAGAGGCTGCAGTCCTAACACATGCCCTAGGGGGTGGCTTCCTAAATCCTGCCTCCAAAGCCTTCCTTTCCTCCGAATTCCTCCCACACTGGAATCCTTTGTTCAACCATCTGCCCTCTCCCCTTCCCAACACCTCAGGAGCAGATCTTGTTCAGCCGAGTGATTTAAACTAAGCCTCAGGGAGCAAAGGATTCCTTCAATAATTTTTAAGTTGAATAAATGCAGATGGGATTTTAAAAAAAAAAAAAGAAGAGAGAAAAAGAAAAAGAAAAAAAGGAAGAAAAGAAAAGCAAAATTTTTAAAAATGTAGCAAGAAAAAATAATAAATCCTGACACTTCAGAGTCCATCCTAAGTAAAGGAAAACTAAGTCTTAATAACACTCCTCTCTCTTAGATACTTGACGAGAAATGAGACACTTTAACCCAAAAATTTACTTAAGTTAAAAAACACAAAAAATTTTTAAAGCATGTCTATGCTTTGTTCCAGATCTTTTGTTCAGGGAACGCAATTTAATGAGTTTTTGGCTTAGCAAAGGTAGGGCTAAGATTTATTTGGGAGGTTGATAGTGAAGAGGTAAACTGTCTAGATAAACTAACAGGTACTGAAATCTGGGAGACAGAAAAACAGCAAATTCTCCGGAAGGGAAAAGAACGGAAAGGTCACAAACTGAACTCTAAGCTAGAGGAGGAGCCAGGAATGCAAGAGAGCTGTGCAGTGAATGACTGACAGGTATTAGTGTAGTGGTGTCTAATACGCCACCCCAAGATGTTGCGCCTGTGCCAGACTCTAATCTTCATCACCCCCTCAATACAAACCTCAAAACAATCACCTTATATTAGGGGTCCTTTGGGAGAGAAAAATAAAGGTAGTGTTCAACACGGGGTGAAGGAATGCAGAAAAGGGCAGCCCTTACAGGAAAAGACTGGAAAGCATAAGTGAAGAGTTCCAGAGAAGCATGAAATCTGAGAAAGGCAATTAAGGAGAGTGGCCAGTACTGTAGACGGTGAAGTAGACTGCTACGTACTTACCAACTGAGTAAATAATGAGGCCCCACGTCTTTCTAATCCAATAGATAATGCTGGTGAACCAGCCAAGTGCCACAGACCATTTATTTATTACCCAGCATCTTCCATCACCCCCACTGTGGGAGCAAGTCTGTTTCTGCGCAGTGCAGTCATTCTCATGCCTCAACTCGTAATGACTAAAGGTAACAACCAGGATTTGTGGTTTGCAAATCTCAGTCCAAGCTGGCCCTGAAGCAGAAGTGGCAAGAAGGAAGAGAAGAAAGCATTAGATTTCATCTAGCAACTCGGGAACTCCACCTCACTAACTAATCTAAAGATGAGCTGCTAAATTGCCCAGTAGGAAACATTAAACCCTGCCCATTAAACCAGGGATCGCTTTCAGGGTAAGACAATCTATTCCCACAGTTACCTCTATTCAATATGAGTTCCTAGATAACAGGGTATTTCCCTCATAAATCTAACTGCGGCTAGTATACTAGCCCCTCTGAGCTTATTCTATACTCAAGTCTCTACATGTTTTCTGTTACATATTGCTGTTCCAAATAGTGTATATAGGAAATTGAATGCTCCACCAGATATACTAATTCAGACTCACTTTAAAACCTTTACTTTTTCTCCACCTGCCAAATGATAAGAGGAAAACAAGTAGGCATGTATAGTTCAGCTCCCAAAGCAGTTCTCTAAAAGCTGATGCAAAGAAGGTGACATATATTCTTTCTGAGACACAAATTTCCCATCCTTGTTTTTTTTGTTTTGTTTTGTTTTTTTGTTTTTTAATGTAAGTTACCTGGAGTCTCTAAAAATGGTCCAACTCATGCAGTTGAGCTGCCTCACCACAGCAAGGCAGTAATGTCTGGCAGCATCAACAAAATCATGTTTTAAACTCATTCCACTAGTCAAGTACACAATTGAATTCCACTTTGCAACCTAAAAACAAAATGCTAAAATCTTTAGATATACTTAAACCTAATCAAACCCAATGATAAGGTCTATGGTGATTATTAGTTTAGTCAACTCTACCTTTTTTATGCAAAGCATCAACAACATGCAGTTTATGTAACCTTTTAAGAGCAACTATTTCTACTAGTTTGTGCAGAAAGCAACATTGAGTAAATACGTATCAAAAAGAAAAAAGGAGGGACGGAGGGAGGGAGGGAGACACTACAATAGGGATAATGGCAGAACAGAGAGCAGCTGCCTTGCCTTGTATAACACTTAGACTGCCAAGAATAAAGCTTTAAAAAATTGATTCTGCAACTTTTTTTCTGCCTTTCATGGGCCACTAACTATGAAACAGATTTCCAAGACATGTTTATAATCAGATCTATGTAACTAAGAGCAAACTGAAGCAGAATCAGAATTACAGAAAGATTCAATCACCGTAATTTAACTTCTAGAAACACCAGTTCCCACTCCTCAGTGGGTTCCTGGCTTCTGTCACTTAGAACATCTCAAGTCCACTAACAGTAGTTCCAGCTATGGCTCAACCACCATCTGTGACTGTCTTTCACAATCCTGGCCATCAAGAACAAGCAATGTTTCAGTACTGTTTGGCTTGGCAAGACATAAGCTAGACATAAGCTAAGTGTGCGCATTTTTTATTCTCTGGGGTTTGAGCTCCAGCAGTGTTTGAAACATGACGTTCAAAACCTGAAACTGACTTTGATTATGAGATTACAACTGGCACTCTGAGACAATCTACGACAAATATCTATGCTGGAAAAAAAAATCCTTCCACAAAGCTCTTAGAATTCTTTTCCTCTACAAATACATCATTGCAATTGAGGCAATGTAAAGTCTGTCACCCCTTTTTGGATATGCCTTTTTGGATATTGTTTTAAGCTGGTTACTTATAAGAAATGAACACCTCAGGAAAAACCTTTGGCGTTCCCTCTAACTGCCTGAAAGGAATTTAGACAAAGGACCTGCTTCCAGGAAGCAAGCTCATATAGATAGATAACTGTGATAGGAACTAAGTGTGATAGACGGGGAAGAACCCAGCTAGTCCTTCCTGTGTCCTCATTGTAAAGATGCCCCAACAAACATTTCTTTACCAAACATTTACTTTCCAATCTTCAGGTGAATTGCCTTCTCCTTAGCTTAAGATAGCATGTAAGCCTTCACAACCGTCCTTGGGTCCCATATTCTTAGGGAACCCCATATACATGTAATAAATGTGGTCATTTCTCCTGTTAATCTGTCTCACGTTAACTTGATTTAGTCTGTCCAGAAGTTAGAAGGGTAGGAGGAAACTTATTTTGCCTTTTCCACACTTCAAACAACAAACGCCAACACGCTGGCCTGAAACTAGGGTAAGTTGAGTGAGGCACCCACCTGAAGAGGGCACAATAACAACAATACCTGTAGTAATTACGAGAAATAAATAACAGTTTAAAATATCAAAATTAATGCAAACAATACATGATGAAAAGCTATGAAATTTTTAAATAAAGACAAGATCCGACCCTGCCCTTATACAACTCTTACTCACCTCGCCCTAATCTTAATCCTGTTGGATTTATCTAGTCTTTATCTTAAATTTTAATATTTTGTCCTTTTTATTGCATTAAACTACTATTTACTTGATTATGGAGTTTTTTGGTGCCCCCTTAAATTTTTCACTAAAGGAGACACTCTCCTCACCCTAGTGTCAGCCCTGCCAACACATATTAACTCAAATCCTTGAGGTAGCTCTACAATTACTCTCATTTGCAAGTGAGTAAAAAAGGTTAGCTACTTTACCTAAGACCATAGAGCCAGCGTGGCCAAGTCAGATTCCAAACCCAGCTATGTGGCTCAGAGCCCACCCTCTTATTTACAGACACCATACTACCTCTGAGGGCTTGGCATCACTAAGGCAATCAACATAAACCTATATTAATCCTGGGTTTTAGAAAAAAAAAACTATGTGGAATACATTCCAAATAAACTATAATTAATGACAATCTGGGCAAATTTAGTGATGACTTGTTCGTGGCTTATCAATGTTCTGCAATGTTTAGGCTAAGTGTTGATTCCACCAAACTCCTGGACTCTTTCTAATTTGTCCCTAATTCTTTAGCCAACCTAACGCTCAGAACAAGCCACGAGAGAGAGGAGATATCTGGCTCTTCACTCAAAGGACAGGACTACAGATTTGAGTGGCCTGACGTAGCTGTCGCAGTACATAAATTCTGAGATGCTCCTGGTATCTGCCCTCAAATACAGTCAGTTTTACGAGGCCAACTGAGCTACTGTGTGCCTTGCAGGACACTGTTCAGAAATACTCCCAAATAATGTGTTCATTTACAAAGAGATGAAAATTTGGAAATAAATCCACTACAGCTACAATAGTCCTACCACATTTAGCTAGTTGCGAGTGGTGGTGGACACTGCAGTTAAAAAGGATCATAGCGAAATAGGCTGAAAAAGAATCTAGAAATGATATCCTGGGAAGAATGGTTGAGGGAACTAGAGCTTTTTTTCTTGGGGGAAAGAAAGACAACTTCAAAGTTGGAGAAGTGGTGCCTAGCAACTATTTTCAATTATCTGAAAAGCTAGTGGATTTAATTTATGTGACACCAGAAGATTGAAGTTGGACAAGTAGATGACAGTTTATAGGTAACAGTTTCAAGAAGCTGGCTTTCATCTCAGTATAAGGAAAAAATCTTCCAACAATTAGACCTGTCTAGCAATAAAAGACCCTGCCACCAGAGAAGGCAGGGTTGGCTGTCAAGCTACTATAGAAGGGATCCAGCACAGAATGCCACTTGGACAGAGGACTTAAAATCCCTTCCAATTCTAAGGCATTAAGAATGGAACAAATAATCAAACTTAACACATTCATTGTTATGCATAGTGTTTAGTTACTAAAAACCCTAGAAAACTAAAACAAAATCAGGAGCTTAATGGAAAGGAGGTCTTACATTTTCATTTTATTCCAAGCTACATTCTTGTTTTTAATTCTAAGCCACTGAAGTAATGCAAGTTAAAAAAATCAATCTCCCTTTTGGAAAAACTAAATTATGTCCTGGGATGGTATTTATAGGTACCATTTAAGAAAATTGGGAAACTACTCATATATGCAATCGATATTTTATAGCTCTCCTACAAACTACATTGGCTGTTATTACCAAGATGTGTATCGTGTAGAAGAAAAAATACGGAAGCAGCTGAGTTAGAATTTAGGAAAACAAAGCAAAGCAAAAGTCGAATCAGATATATCTGCAGCCCAATCATATTAAAAGACCTTAGAAAAATTTATCCAATCAGACAAATACACAAAGGTCAAAAATTGTCCATCTTAATGATGACACAATTTTTAAAAAACAATTTTGTGTTCAGGGAGTCTTCCAAAAGAGGTTCACACATAACTTTAAGTATTTTTGTTTGCACAAGAATAGAAACGAGACATGTTCAAAGGAAGATAAGAGAACAACACAATCAAGTTTAAAAATATGAGTGTCTATAGCCTTTTGCCGAGTAGTTGAGTAGTGTGCACGTGCGCACACACACACACACACACACACACACACACACACAATGTCTAAACCCCACTGGATTGTGCCAGGGATTCCATTCAATGCACCATGTTCACTGGAGAAGATTTTAAATGAAATCAAAGCATTATGACTCCAGAGAAGAGAATAAACCACAGAAAAAAGGCTCCTACTTGCCAGGCATTTTAGAGATGACCCCATCTGACTCTCCCAATAGATCTATAATAGGAATTCTTAAAAGAAAGAAATCAAGTTAATTAACTTTCCCTTAAATTTACAAAGCCAGTAAGAGTTTGAGCTGAAGGTATCCCTGACTTCCAAAGTTCAACTATATTTCCTCTATACAATATAGCCAGCCACCTCTTGCTCCTACCACCTGCTATGCCAAAACCCACGGGATACTTCTGCCTGGAACTTCCTGAGGTATGCAAGTATGTTAAACTTGTTATCCTCTCCAACCCTGAACCACTTTCCTTCAGTTAAATAAAACCGATCTTCCCCACAATCACTGAAGTTCAACCCTTCAAAGGGCTGCAGTTGACTCTGCTCTTTCCACCATTCCTACACAGTCATATTAAACTGCCATCGCTACCTCAACTTCTCCCAAACCCCCCTTTTCCCATTACTTTTACTCTATACCTGATCTAAACTTGTTGGCACTGTCTTAGCTGTGCTCCACTTTCTCTCCACTATATACTTTGCTATGAAAAACAACAGTCATGCCACTAAAGGAGTTTGACCAAAGCAGTG